TACCCCGTTACCCTACAACGTACGCGCGTTACGTCTATCTACTATATATATAGTATATATATATATATATATATATATATATAATATATATATATATATATGGTACTGGAGAGCTAAGAATATATCATTACAGTAGTTCCGATGTTTTCCGACACTCGCGTCAGTATAAACTACACGTTCGCATGCGCGCCTCCGTCAAAAATAACGGTTTCCGAAACTTCGGCACTAAATGTGAGTTTGAAACGTAACCAGTATTACCAGTATTACCAGTTTGTTTGTATTAGGGGACCAGAGCCCCCGCCGACCTCTGTACAAACGCTCATGCTAAGGAAACCAGAGCGAAGCCTGTGTGCTCATTTTCTATAAGGATCCGGTGAAAAGCGAACATGATATTGCTCCCTGCCTCACCCACCACATCGCCTTACCTACTCATCTTCTCCCGCCCCTACTCCTATATCTACCCCTACCCACCTAGACCCACTCCTACTATCTCCCTATCCCACCTCTTTCCATACATCTCTCCAACCCTTCTTTACTTTCCCTCCCCTCCCCGTCCTGCTCACCTATACCCACGACCCTCCCTATTTTCCGTTGATTGCATTCGTCTTCCCTTTTATCCTCCTCCGCCCCCGCCTCATCACTTTACTCGGCTACTGAATTACTCTCTTCAACCATCTCCTACGCCAAACTACCATCATCTCTATCCTTCCTTTCCTCTGTCCATCCCTTGGTTTTATTCCAACCCGTTTGCCTACCTATGAATTATTATTCATGACCTGGGGTCACGCACGAAAACACGGAGATACGTGCGTGTACCCGCGTGTACGGGCGTTTACGTGCGTGCACGTGCGTGTACCCGCGTGTACGTGCGTGTACCCGCGTGTTCGTGCGTGTACCCGCGTGTACGTGCGTGTACCCGCGTGTACGTGCGTGTGTCTGCATGTACGTGCGTGTACCCGCGTGTACGTGCGTGTATCTGCGTGTACGTGCGTGTACCTACGTGTACGTGCGTGTACCCGCGTGTACGTGCGTGTATCTCCTTGTACCCGCGTGTACGTGCGTGTATCTGCGTGTACGTGCGTGTACCTGCGTGTACGTGCGTGTATCTCCGTGTACCCGCATGCATGTACGTGCGTGTATCTGCGTGTACGTGCGTGTACCCCCTCTGTGCGTGCCTGCCTGAGCAGCCATTGTTTACAAAATTGCCTTGCTTAGCCTCGTTTTAGTGCGATGACCCCCCAGGTCATGAATAATAATTAAGAATGGTCTATACCATTTTTTCCCTTTGTCATTCCCCTCACTTGCACTTGCTCAGCCCTTTTCTCATTACTATTTTTTCACATTCAATCTCATTGTCTTCCCCTAGCCCTCTCTGCCCATTCTTTCTCCCTCTCCGTAACCCTCACCGTATTCTAGCCTCAACACATCCTCTCCCCTATTCCCGATCTCTTAACTCTTCCTTCCCATAGCTCATTTTCTCGCTTTGCCTTACTTCCACAGTGCTCACATGCACCCCTCCCCTCATCTTACACCAACCCAACTTCTCTATACCCTTTCCTCCTTTTTCAACTGCCTTCTCTCCTATCCCGCCTAGGTACAAAGAAGGGTAGACCTAGGTAAAAAAAGGTACAAGAGCTACCTCTTGTACCTTAATTCTTTTTCATACCCCCCTCATCCACCACAGCTTTTTATTTATTTATTTATTTATTTATTTAGGCAATTATCGATCATATACAATACATAGCATACTTTTACAATAAAATTCTGAATTCATAAAATTGGATAACTACCAAGGATATATACACAAAAAGCATGACTAGCACACTTATTTACATTGTGGTCCTTGTTTTGCTATGCCTTGAATCTAACAATTACACTACTAATACTATCAGCACTAACTATTGAAATATGCAAATTTGTAGTTTTAACCGGTCATACAATGGTACATTCTCATAAGACGATACAAACTTTTCTTATGCCTAATTTCACCCGAATTCTTTTAGCGAAAATCATACTCCTCTGCCTCTAATGTTTCTACCTTTTCCATCAGACATTTTTTAACACTATATTTAAAACTAGAATAAACAGAATTTTTCCTAACTTGCTGTGGTAGAGAGTTCAATGCTTCAATTGCAGTATCAGTAAAAGAGTTTTTCCCACTGCTTCCCACCCTCGGTTTAAAAATAGACATCTCACCTTCCCTTGTATTGAAACTATGGACTTTTGACGTTAACATGAAACCTTCTGTCAAATAGCTACTATGGGCCGAGATTATGTAATATTTTAAAAACCCTATTGACCTTCAGTTGCATTCCCCTGAACTCTATACGTACCCAATTCACAGCCTTGAACTCTCTAGCACCTATGTGTGCTCTAGTACCTATAGGTTGAGAACACATCTAATGGCTTTATTTTGACACACTTGCAGCTTAGCCCTTGTGCGCTTTGTGAGACTGCTGTACCATATACTGCTTGCATAGTCAAAATGTCATTGAATTAGGGCAGAAACTATAGTAATCTTTTACATGTCGTGTTTAAATACTTAGCTTTTCTTGAAAGAAATTTCAATCTATTGTTAACCCTTTTTACAACCTTAATTCCCGTTACCTCGCCACTCATGGAGCCTTCCAAGTCTATTCCTAGATACTTAACTGTATTTTTGTGTGCAATTGCCACCCCATTACATCTGATGTCCATTTTGGATTATCCCTGAGTTTGTGTTTAGTTGCAAAAATAATACTTTCTGTTTTTCCAAGATGCAAAGATAAATTATTATCATTGAGCCGTTTATTAATGGAATGCAATTCTCTACTTAATTCTTCCTGTATAGCCTGTACCTCTGTCCCTGAAACTACTAAGGCCGAATCGTTAGCATATAATAAAAGCTTGACGTTCACTGCCTTTGCCATGTCATTAACATAAATCAGAAATAACAGAGAACCCAAAATCGAGCCTTGTACGTGGTACTCCACATGCAATAGGGTCCTTATTAGAGAAAGTACCTCCTACATCAGTTATTTGGCTTCTACCAGAGAGATAAGCACCGAACCATTTCACAGTCCTAATATCCATTCCGATAGTTTTTAGCAAAGCTTTTTGAAGATCTAATAAGACCATACGAGTTAAATTTCCTTTGTCCGACTCATTACGAATAATATCAGTTAGATGAATTAAACTTGTTGCCACCTTCCCTTCGTCCTTAATTCCTCCTCTTTCCACTCACTTCTCGCCATCTACTCCCGTCCCCGGGTCTATATTGCATGCTTACCCATGGGATGCACAGCCGGTTGGTATTTCTGGTTTTGACCTAGCCTCTTGTGCGGATCATAGTGTTGTGAGCCGGTGAGAGCGGCATTCAACGCCATGTTGATTCTGTCCGTCCCGCTCGCCCTGCGTCGCTGCGTGCACAGTCGTCCGTATCTCCTAACACGTGCCAATCTATAGCTTGTATATCCTCTATACTATAACATTATCTTACACTTACAGCTAACGATGCTTCTATCTCTGTTCAGGAACGCCGTGAACAAAGGCACTCGTGTTTATTTCCACGCGCTCTTGTGCCGAAGACCAACGCGGGTGCGTTTACTGGAGGTGCTTGTGAAATCACTCGCAGTTCCGATCAGTGCGTTGTTGTTCGCCTTTAATGTGTCCAGTAGACCGCGGCAGGCGTCATTGAATTCCTTCCACTTGTCGAGTTCGCCCTATCGCGATGTTGCAGGTATTGGCTCGACGTTCGCTACTGCGTGCCACCAGCGGCAGTGTGGTTGCCGCCGTCCACGAAATTAATGTGACTCTGGTGACTTATTTAGTCACACGCGAAGATCCTCTACTGGGAATAAGGGCAACACGATAGCGCCAGCTCGCCCTCGCTTGTGTGTATCTACGCACAGAATGCAGACACGGAAACCGAGGCGATGTGTACAGTAGAGGTGGTTTTTCGTTCGTGCTGGCCCATCCCCCCGCCTAGCCAGGCTCGTATACCGCTGCGAGGGAGCCACCCTGGGGGCTTGTACGCTACCACGCACGCTGCTCGACCGAGCATGCGCGTGCCGTAACCCAGCAAAGCTACACACATGCGCGAGCACACAGGCACACACGCACACGCATACAGGCACACGCAAGCACGTAAGCACACACACACACACACACACACACACACACACACACACACACACACACACACACACACACACACACACACACACACACACACACACACACACTGCAAACACACACACACACACACACACACACAGCCGCATATGCGCGCACAACACAAAACGGCGTACATGGCACACACTCATTGAGAACACACGTAAGCTATTACCAGATAATATTAGAACTTTAGATGTATACATAGACATATACTAATATAATATCATGATCATAAATAGAATCTCAATTTGTATAGACAACCTGTGTGGATCAGTGTGCGCAACAGGCACTTTGAAAGTCTCAATAAAATATAAAAAAAGCGTAAATAAACACGCAAATGTATTTTACTTACCAAAATCTTATGTATTCTGTATATCTATTTCGCCTATAATCACCTGTAAATTCCGGTCAAATGCTCATCTGCCCAACACACAAGTACACCGGCACGCCCGCGCTGCTGCACAAACAACACGGAATAAGAGTAGCCATAGTGCCTCGTGAGTGTGCGTCTACGTAGCATTGCATGCTTGCGTGCGTTGTGCGTGTGCTGTTTCTCCTGGGCTGCATTAATTGCGTTGATGTATATTAAGAATGAGCCTCCGATTACAACTCGTGTTAGTTTTGTTTGCCAACGAGTCCTTTTGTCCAGCAGGCACCCAGCACAAACAGCTATGGAATTTAACACGACAAATTCACCTGTGGAAAACCTTCTTACATTTTACTACAATTGAGCCTCTTAGCATCATCGTAAAATAAAAAAACCCAGCGACAAATACACAATGGATTCTTGCGCGGGGAAAAACAGCCCGATTATTATCGTGAATTTTTACGACGACGAACGACGCGTGATGGTGAATGGATCTTACGTAAAATCTATTCCTAACAGAAAGTTTGGACGCGGAATTTGATTGCCCACGTATTATTTCAATAGCCAGGCCGCCTTCCCTATCAAACAGTATTAAATTTATTATTCGAGTTATTTGACCATGAAAGTGCTTCCTTGCTTCTTCGAAAATTATATGTCAAAACACACATAATCTACAGATAAAGAGGTAAGCGACCATGTGACGCAGCATTAGAATGGCATTATTATAAATTCGAGTTTTAATTGCCTGGAACTTTTCGCTAACAATACGTTATTTGTTAATACGAAACATTGGTTACTAGATAATTATAAATTATGAGTGCTACATTTTATTAATAAAAAGTAGCAGAAGGTCATTATATATAAGTATATATCACGTCGCTATCATCAATATGAAGTTTTTTTTATGTAGTATTACGGAAGATGGAAGATGTGTACGTCCGTGCCGTGCGTGGCGTTCGCTTCTTCGGTGCGTACTGTATATATTAAATGATATTATATATATATATTATAAAAGCCAGAGAGAGAGGTCAGAGAGAAGCGAGCGCGCGAGAAATTAAATTAAATGGATTATCATCCGTAACCTTTACCCATGCGCACTTGATGCCGTGCCGAAGCTGTCTTGATGTGTTTCACGTAAACCTAGCTTCTGCGTACACGGTCGCGGAACTGCGAAATTAGTAAATCATTCTCGATGCGCGGATAATCAAAGTATTTGCAATATCTGCTGTGTGAAGAGCTGCACTTTCCCCTTCTCGGAGAAACCTTCCTTCTTTTCGATTGAGCCACGGGACGATCAATCATACCACGCGTAGACAAAACGAGGAGTTGCTCGCCTATCGACACAGTTCTTATGTAATCACAGCCATGTATGATGTAATCAGGAGGTAATCAATGCATGCGGTTATTGCGCCGACCACATTGCGATGAATTATCCATGTCGTCAGCTGAGCACCACTGTTCTTGATCGTGGCGTTCTTTGCGCGCCCTATGTAGCCTTACTAACACAAAGAATGGCTCCTGCTTGTCTCACTCCCGTGACGAAGGTTATCCGCTTGTGTATATGATCATTGAATTTCTTTTCTCTCTCACTCTCTCGCTCTCTCCCTTTCCCTCTCTCTCTCCCTCACTATCCTGCTGTATATCTGTAATATGTGCGTCTTAGGCGGCACTTGTCCCAAACCTACCAGGCGTTGTAAGCGTTAATATGTTTGTATTTGTATCTATTTTATATCTATTAGTATTACTGGCTCGGTTCGTCGTCGTGTGAGCGTGACCTATGCTGCTTGCTCTCTACTCTCCGCCTGGTCTGTCTCTACTCTGCTTAGCACACACTTCACAAACCGTGTGAGCACACGTGTTCTATAGTAGAATGTTGGGAGTTACGGAGCGAGCACACCGTGACGTATCGAGCGCGTCTCGCGTGTGATGTCGTCGGCAGCCGCAGACGATGCAGCGCGTCGGCCTCCTCACGATCGTCTGTCGTCCGCTGACGCTGTCGCTGTCGCGCGCTTGATTGCTTGTCGCTCGCTACGCAGTACGGTCCGTTGACGCTAATTCGTCGCAGTCGCTGCTTTGTTGTCGTCGCCTGACGCTGTCGTCGCTGACGCTGTCGTCGCTGACGCTTGTCACCGCCGACGCCTGTCACCTCGCTGACGCTGTCGTCGCTGACGCTGTCGCTGCTGACGTTGTAGCCGCTGACGCTATCGCCGCTGACGTTGTAGCCGCTGACGCTGTCGTCGCTGACGCTGTCGTCGCTGACGCTGTCGTCGCTGACGCTGTCACTTTGACGGTGTCTATGCCGTAAGTGTGACCTGCTGCCTGCTGACGTTGTCTATGCGTATAGAGCCGTGACGCTGCTGCTACTTGACGCCCTGCTAAAGCCGTAATCGCACCACACGATGCGTCTCTCTGCGTGCCGTGCTTCGTTCCTCTCTCTCTCTTTCTAATTTCTCTCTCTCTTCTCATCTCTCTCTTCCTCTCTCTATCTATCTCTATATCTCTCTCGGCCTCTCTTCTGTCCCTCGCTCCTTTGCACGCGCTCTCGCCGTCTCACTCACTCACGACGCCCGCACACGTGTGCCGGCAAATTGTGCAGAACAGAGAGCTTTCCGCGCCGGCCGTGACATCCTACACCTTACGACTGAGTCGACGAGAGCCAATTACCTTTGGGTGGCTGGTGCTACACGCGCACCACGCGCTCGCTGCTCGGCGCCGCTAGACGGGCGCGAGTCTGCTGTGCTGCTGTGCTGCGAACAGATAGCGCTAGCCCGCTCGCTCATGCACACGCGCGCGCACGCACACTCACTCATTCATCCACTCACGCACGCGCGCGCGCACTCACTCATTCATTCACTCACGCACGCGCGCGCGCACTCACTCATTCATTCACTCATGCTCGCACTCACACACACACGCGCACTCATTAACTCACTCACTCACTCACTCACTCACTCACTCACTCACTCACTCACTCACTCACTCACTCACTCACTCACTCACTCACTCACTCACTCACTCACTCACTCACTCACTTACTCACTCACTCATTCACTCAATGTAGTCTGTATCTCTCTGCCTTCCCTTCCCTCGCTCTCGCTCTCGCGCGCGCTCTTTCTCTCTCTCTCTCTCTCTCTTTCTCTCTCTCTCTCTCTCTATCTCGCTGTCTCTATTCGCAATCTATAAACACTCATCGACCCCGACAAGATACGCGTTCAGGTCGGAGCGGTTATTTGCTAACGTGAAAATGTTTACTTAGTCTGTGTTTTCTTTTTTCGCATCGTTTACGTTTTCCGATCACTTCGAATTGACGATGACTAATGCCTTACAGATATTTGTAGACGTAGTATTATAGTAGAGTTAGTATTACAGGACATAGATACGCGGCCATGACACGTGCTATTCGTGTATGAAACAGAAAGAGGGAGCGGGCAGGAGAGAGAGAGAGCGAGAGAGAAAGACAGAATGAAAGAAAGAACGAAAGGAAAAGAGGGCGAGGCATAGTGATAATAGAAGATACACAGAGAGTGTAGTAGTAGTGTAGAGTAGGAGTAGAGTGCGAAGAACATTAAAAATTTCCTATCTGACTGGCTGTTTATTTGTCAGGGGAGAGAGAGAGAAAATGTATATAGAAAAAATTGCGATATATATATAGAGCGAGAGAGAGAGAGATAGAGAGCAAGAGAAAAGGAGCAAGGGAGAGATAGGAAAGGAGGCGGCGAGGGAGGGAGAAAGAAGAGAGATCGAAGAAGAGGGAGGCGAAATAAGATAAAATGCATTAAATGCTTCACATTTTTGTGAGTATCGTAATCATTCGAGCTATTCGCAGTATAATTCTGATTACTAGAGGGCATCACACAATGAATCATAATCAAAACGATTATACGACATGCATAAGAAAAAATACATAAAGTCTATAGCGATACAATGATTACGATGTTGGACGTACAGAATTATGTTGTGAAAGAAAGAATGTATCTTAAGATTGACCGGTAGTAAACTCGAAACAAACGACAAGTATATGTGAAGTAATATTCAAACGAATAATGTGCTCATAAACTGCTTATTATTATATAACTATATTACATAATATATTATTACTATAGAACGTATAAAATTCGCGTAATGTGTAATAAGACAGCATTTACCGCGGTAAGTAAAAATATTAAACCAGATTCCTGCAGATATACTTTGTAACCGAACGAATCGTGGCGTATTATGCTCAGTTATATATAGATATGCTCAGAATATAATAATATATTCAAGGCCATTATGCGGCTAAATTTATTATTTATAAACGCATGCGTATATATATATATATATAGTCACCTAGGTTATAGCACTGTAATATCACTAGGAGTTATAATAAGGACTACATAGAATACCGCCATCTCAAGAAAATTGTGATATAATAATCTATTAATTTTACGCTATTAGATATACCTATGTGCTCTACCACACACACAGATGGGATAGAAATGAATTGGCCTACATTGGCCTCCTCCACCTGGACATTCTAATCATAATTATAATATCAAATATCGCGGTGTGGTATATAAACTGTCTTAACGTGCCTGGCTGTATCTCGTCTATATCGAGATCACGTATGGGCAGTGATTCCTGATTTTCCGTTGTAACTATTCTAAACAAATAATGTTTAATGCGTGTAGTTAAATAGCATGACCATCGAAAAAACGTCTGTGTGTCTTGTAGATGCGACGTTTTGACACCGCTGTTGAACAATCGATACTAAAAGCATCAGTAGAATTTTAAAATGTCTATAATCTTCTGATAATTATTGGTTTTCGATGAAAATGTATGAAGATTATTTGTAGAAATGTGTTAACTTAGTTGGTTGCTTCCATTTTATCTGCTGTGTCGTTCGCTAGATGGCGCCACAGTCTATCTGGTGTACGATCCTAAATAGTTCTTGCAGCTTGGGCATTTATGGTCTACATCTTTGCAACTGTCGACGCAGAACGGGATACAGCAGCAACTGAAAAACGAAAATGGGTGTAAATGGGCGAAACTTGGTCAGGCGTGAACATAAATCCCTCTTTGTAGGTAGCGTCACCCATAAATGTAGCCCACAGGGCCGCTCACGCATCGATACTCACACGACCGCTAGTATACATAACATTGCTTTCTATTCACTATAAGTGACACAATGCTATTTTACCGATCTCGATTCCCTTTGCCTCTTTATTACCCGACTCGTTCTTGTGTTCCTCTTTAATCCCTATCCCTCCTCTTCCTTTCCCCTCCTCTTCCTCTTCTCCCTCCTCCTCCTCCTCCTCCCCCTCCTCCTCCCCCTCCCCCTCCTCCTCATCCTCCTCCTACTTTTCCTCTTCCTTCATCTCCTCCTCATCCCCCTGCTCCTATTCTTCCACCTCCTCCTTTTACTACTCCGCTTCTTGTTCCCTAATCTTATTCCCCTGCTTTCCAATCTCGCTTTCAACCTCTCCGTCTCTCATTCACGCTCGACCCCCCCCCTCCCCCCACCGTCGCCTCATCCCTTTCCCATCTTCTCGTTGCCCCTTCTCCTATCTATCACAGACATATGACTAAACGATGTTGGCGAGCGTACCCGATGAACCAGAGAAGGCAGCACGATAACCACACGCATCTACCATTCTTGGTTTCGGTAGTTGTTGTTACTTGGTTCTTGCAGTGCGGACACGACAGAGTCATTGGCTCGGGCCCAAAAGTGACGAGTTGTACACCGGTTGCCATGGCGACGTTTGATCAGACGAAACGACACTCGGTACTATATGCGCTGAAATAGCAGAAAACATCATAAATACAGATAAATGTCATAGAGTATTGAGGCAGCAACAACGTGGCTGATAAGCCCCTGTACACACCCAAAACGCCAGTAGATGTACGTGCATGCACACGTGAACCCGTGTGTGCATCGTCATTTTTTAAACTCTGGGTAAGTTCAAACGCGAAAAATTTCCGGGTAGGGAGATTCGGTTATTTGATCATTATTCTCTATCATCCGTTTCTCCCCCATAGCCAACTACTAATGATCTCTCTCTCTCTCTCTCTCTCTCTCTCTCTCTCTCTCTCTCTCTCTCTCTCTCTCTCTCAATCTATCTATCTATTTATTTATTTCTCTATCTATCTATATCTATATCATTCTCTCCCCCAGCCTCTCTCTCCCCATATTTCTGTCTCTCCCATCTTTCTCTTTTTCTTACTCCCGCCTCTCTCTGTCTCTGTCTCACACAATGTCTACCTCTCTCTACATCTCAATCCCTCCTCAATCTTTCTCCATCTTTGTTTCCTCAGTTCTATCTCGCTCTCTCACGCTAATTATCCAACCTTTCGCAATAACATATGATAACAATTCATGTGTTCGTTGCGCTTCTATCCGTAGACGTGTCCGCATTAGTTGTCAGCTTAGTAATATGTCAGAATAAACTGTTTCATGCCATCGTTATCACCATGAAAATTACCCGCATTCAACCTTCTATAGAGACAAATTATATGGTAATCATGGATTTAGTTCAGTTCCAAGAGAAAATACTTTCTGTGACTGCGCGCGTGTGTGCCACGCATTACGAGAACTCTTTGCACGTTGAATAAAGGTATACCGAATATTATGTAGATTCCATACACCAATATTAAATTCGGTGTAAAATCGTTGGCGTGGTGTCGAACGAAACGCCGTGTTGTTTGATTCTATTGCATATTTATCTTATCTTAGCTATATTTTATTTATTATAAGCGTCTCCGTCATTAACACAGACGCTGAACTCATGTGACATAGAGGCATGCCTCTTTAACAGGGCAGCGGTAGCTTTGTAAAGACGCTTGATGCTGTCGGTAATTGTCTCGAGTACTGGCAGGGTGTGGGTTGGTAACACGGCACGACCAGGTACGACCATCACGCGTGTGTCCATGGCCAAGACACTTCGTGCTCATTTCCCGATAAGTTTAATAGTACCAGGAGTAGATAATAGGGACTATTATCCCTATTATCTACTCCTGATAGTACTCTGCAGAGGTAGTACGCCCGAGTTAGAACAATAGTAATTTGTATTGCAGAGGTTACTTGTGCAGATGATAAGTATACATGTGTATACATGTATACACATATGTGGTTTGTAACTTAAAATACTTGACAATATTGAGCCCCACCTACCTACCGGCACACGCGCAACGCAGTACTCAGAGAATTATAGTAACTTTAAATGTCAGCGATGAAATGCTGAGAATGTCCATTACGAAGATGACTGAAACGATCCCCTAAACTTTTAAGAGTTGAGAGCGATCTAGTGGTAATGATTGAACGCCTTTAGCTATACAGCCATCGGCTGACATTGTCCCGCGGCGCTTCCGCACACACGTGCCACACCCCGAATGCGACGAAATAAAAATTGCCGGCACAACGAGTGATTGTTTTGCAATACATTCGAGCTGCTTGAATTAGTTGTGATGTGTGGAGATTTTCGGTCTTACACAGGCAGAATCAAAGAAAAAAATCACAGAAAAAAACGGTAAAGAGGCTGCCATAATGACAGTTTTATCTGTAAATATGGCTGGAAATTTAGTTTCAAGATGCACATTTGCGCACACATGTGCCTACATTCATAGACGTTTTCTTCATATACGAATACATCTAACTGGGTTAATTGTTACTCGACCGTGAAGATTGGAAACGTACAGCTTACATTTCGCCTCCTGCCAGAAGGCTTTCTCAAAGCGAACTGATAATTATCAGGTTTGACCACCAGATGGTGTGGTGGTCAATAGCTTAGTCCACACGTGACTGAGCCTGTATCCCCCTCGTCACGGTTGATGTTCGGGGTCTTGCGGATCCAGATGCATGGCCTCCTTAATCCATCGCCTGATTTTGATTGGCTCGCGATCGATGATCTTCGAATTATCCCAATTGATGGTGTGATTGTCCTTCGCTACGTAGTCCGTGATCGTGGATTTGGTTATTTCGGTAGCCGACGTCATGCCTAGTCACGTGTGGACTAAGCTATTGCCCACCACACCATCTGGTGGTCAAAACTGATAATCATCAGTTAGCTTTGAGAAAGCCTCCTGGCAGGAGGCGAAACGTAAGCTGTACGTTTCCAATCTTCACGGTTGAGTAACAATTAACCCAGTTAGATCTATTAGTCTACCAACCGAATGAACTTATTTAATGAGTTTCATATACGAATATCAGCTAAGAGCACATCATAACTACTTCACGCTAGGTCACTATTTCGCTTAGAATCACGAAAGAACAGCACGTATCTATAGAATAACGACCTATTATTTATTGATAAGACGGGATTATTTCTAGATATAATATTTATACGTCATTTCGACGATGTACGCTTGTGAACCTACTACAGCCTGTAATACGAAATAGTTCGGGTAGCGCTGTGTGGAAATGTGGTTTTGGTACAAAGCGCGCAACATTTAGTTTTTCCGTCAAAACGAGCTCGCGTGATTTCTTAACATGTAAACCTTTTCATAATTGCCACGGGCGCCCATGTTCGGAGGAAATTAACATCATAATGGAGTTATGCGCGCTATAGTTAAGCGCGTAAGGTTTTTAAATTTTAAATAAAGCCCATGTCACTACGCATTATAGAGACTCGCTCTCGCAGGACCCCGTAGAGTAATCACAACATACTGACATTTTATTTTAAATTTTAAAATCCAGCAGCTAATGGTTAATGTGTGTTGAAATAAAACCTTATTGGAGTATTCTTGCGCTTGAAGCGATGAAAACTGGCATTATCACGCTTTTGCAGAGGCGACACCAGAAATTGGCCGGGGCCGAGAATAAGCTAAGCGACGGGGTGGGTGTGGTAAACTCGAACTGCAATGGGATCCGAATTTTTTTCTTAACTTTGAGGGTTTAAAATTGCATCTTTACCGTTTTATAAGGATTTAATTGTTATAACCACAACTATTGATGTAATGTAATATATCCAACGTACAGGTAAATTGTTTAGCTCTTCATACTGCCGATTGTTTTCACAGTGACCAGGTCTACGTAGTCTCCCATCTTCCTTTCTAAGAGCACCCCTGCACTTCGAGCGTGGAAATCGTCGCGAATCGGGAACGCGTGCGTAAGCCAGACAGTTGACAGCTTGAATATGCATCCGAACGACTCCGTTCGACAGTAAATAACCGCTTTAGAATGACTGCACATTATTCCCTAGCTCACCAAGGAGAGAGAATCGTGGGACCATCCACTGTCCTGCATAGCAACCAGTCGCACGTCGTCCAGCTGTTCTCAAAGCGCCGCAGCGCCGAGGTCCCATGACAAGGTCGCGGTCATGCGACAGCGGACACGAACGAAAGGCGTGTTCAGTCAGACCCAGGTATGGCTATTAGCAGGACCAATTATATATAGCGGCATACAGACAGACTGTGGACATGGATACCGGCCCGGTCTTAGCATCTTGTAGCGGTCTTGCCTACAAGATCAGGTTGTAAAATAGATCATCTAGGAACGGCTAGAAACTGAGCGTGAAATTGCATTACAAGCGAGCATGGCGCAGTAAATGCCATGACCTGTAAATCCATGACTACTGAGAATTATTCTCAAAGTAAAAAGTTTAACGAGTCCGTAATATTGGTTCTCAACGACTTACGCATTCAGGCTTGACTAGGAGCAGGCGCCCGGTTGATTTCTAATTTGTGCTTTATTAGTGTAATTAATATATACAGGCGTGCTTAACTATCATGTGGCAGCGCGGAACACAATTAGCGGTATATTCATTATAAATTAATAGCACGAACATTACACTCCGTATGTGGCTTGAACTATGGCCGTGGTTTCAGCGCCGAAATCTTGTATTGAATACAAGGCAGTCTCTCAGTCTGCTCCGATATTACAAATATAGGGCACACCACTGGACCTCTATCGTGCATCTCCCCTGCGCCTTATGCATGTACTATAACGTGTACTTGTGTAGAAGACTTTAGAAGTTTAATGCTTGGTAAAGTTATTTTAACTAGTACGCAGATGCGTTCGTGATTACGTTTCACCATCCCATGGCCAGTGGGACTGTGTACGCGTGGTGACGTCTTTCACGAACGCACGCGCCCATGTGCACGCGCGGCACGGCTACTCGCGGTAGTAAGTGAAAAACGAAGTTCCCAAACTGGTTCGAGCGATCGCTGTCGACCTCGTCGCTTAAAACCTGTTTGTGTCTAATTTTCGCTCCGTCCGTCTACCGCGCGCTGGGTAGCGTGCGCAAATAGCGTGCGCACGAGTCAGGGCGTATGGAGAGCGCGGCGGTTGCTAGAAGACACACATGTCACCAGAGTCGCGTTACTGTGACGGCGCGACGTGCACAGTCTGCCCCACCCACTCCCTCTCTCTCTGGTTGGCCCTCCCTCCCTCCCTCCCTTCCTCCCTCTCTCCGGCCCTCTGTTTCTCACTCATGCCGTTTCTCTCACTTTCTTGCGGTCTTTCGGTTGTTATTTTTTCCTTCTGAATTTCATTCTTGCTCTCTCCTCCTATCTCTCCCCCTCTTTCCCATTTCTCTCCCTATATATTCGCTTGTTTTCTCCCCGTCTATATCTCGCTCTTGTCCTCTCCTCAGCTTTTCTGTTCCGTTTGCTCTCTCCCCTCTCTCTCTCTCTCTCTCTCTCTCTCTCTCTCTCTTGCTCTCTCTTTCGCTTGCTGTTTATCTCTCGCTCTATCCCGACCTTGCTCTCTCTCTTCGCTATATCTGCCTCGTCCGTAGGTCAAGCAGGATAGAGTACAGCCCAGTGCGTTATACACACTTCTAACTAAGTGCAATCGATATATGTTAGAGGGGCCTGTAGTAGGTCCTCGGGGCAGGTTGTAGTTATAGCGCGTCTGTGTGGTTAAATATCGGTGAAATATCGAAGACGCAAATGTCGTTGCTGAACTCTTCGTTATGGCGCCGCCGGCTAGCTAGGAGGCCATGGATTCATGGTTTCATGACTAGCCCGCGCGTGCTATTACGGGTGGCTAGGTCATGGCATCACAGCTAGCTAGCTCATGGTTTAAAGGATAACTAGCTCAAAACTTTATCCATAGCTAGCTTATAGTTTTATGGATAGTTAGTTGATGGTTTTGTGGATAGCTAGCTCATGGCTTTAGGGATAACTAGCTCATAACTTTATGCATAGCTAGCTTATAGTTTTAAGGATAGTTAGTTCATGGTTTTATGGATAGCTAGCTCATGGCTTTAGGAATAACTAGCTCATAACTTTATGCATAGCTAGCTTATAGGTTTATGCATAGTTGGCTCATTGCTTCACGGATAACTTCATGGCTTTCTTGATAGCTAGTAAATGATTCTAGATAACGCTACGAGGAAAATACCGCGGAGGGAAAGGAATAGCAGCAAATATTATTTTTGCGTGACAGACAGTCACAGTCACAACGCAGAAACGCCTATACCTAAAGATAAAGCTTAAATGTAGCCCTTCTACATGCAAGTCGATGTCACGACAGAAGATTCCGAAAACCGTGTTAGTACGCATGCGGAGATCACGACAGATATGCGGCGAATGTAATTCGTTAATGAAGACAGCTAGATAAATAAAGTCGGCGTTTTACCGAGTTATTTATAGATATATACATAGAGCTTGCGAGAAGATTCTTCACATATTAACGCTGACGGCTGTGCAATAATAACATATAATGGTTTAGCGGTATGATGTTGTCGGCGGTATTTACAAAGCTCATATGCCGATGCTAACTCGATGCGCATCTTAATCACGGCATTTTTGCAGTATTAGCAGAACGACGTCATTGACGCTTACAACGAGTGGCTGGGACATTTATCAAGGCCATACGCCACTACTCGATAAGTATACGTTGCTGTTTTACGCATGTAAAGCGGGCATAATTCTGTGTAAGACGTCCTTACACGTATGCATATTTAGTACGTAGCTGCGCGCACCCACCGTTTGCCACATGTTGAGATACTTCCGACGGACTAGTAAGAGGCGATTTAATCAAATATGTTTATTTCTGCAACCTTCTTAAGATTGCGTGAGGTAATAAACAGGCCATAAAACTACGTAACGATGAGCGGAGTAATATAAAGTTGTTCTTAACCGAACGCTGTCTCTAATTATAAGCCATAATAAACAAAAACAATGCGCGGTGTTATCGTTTTAATACGCGCTGCTCATCGTTCGAACGATGTTACGGTCGCATTATCATCATTGTTGTCATCGTTGTCTTAGGGCGTGTCGTATGGATTACATACGCGAGGAAGGACAAGCGAGGGTTCTCTCTGCACAACCCACCTTCACGGCAGCAGCAACAGCAGCAGAAGTAACAACTAAAACAACAACAACAACAACAACAACAACAGAAGGAGGCAGAGGAGCAGCAGTAGCAACAGCAGCAGCAGCAATAGTAGTGATAGCAGCAGCAGCAGCAGTAACAGCGAATCAATAATAACTATTCGTGCATCGGAGGAAGAATATGAAGAGCATCTGCAACGTAGCGGGGTTCTCATCGCCAAGCATAAGTGAGGGTGAGGGTGATAAAGTGCACGCGTGTTGCGAACGCCGAGCTGTGACGACGCTAGCTGTGAATTATTTATGCGGACGCGCGAAAGCTATACCGTAAGCGTTACGCGCAATAAAGTCAGTAACAGAGATGCAAATGATTGACGTGAGAGAGGATGCACAGGCGCAGATAATACGCGAGTTTCCAGCCTAGCAGCTGATGCGCACCGACTACACCTGCGCTCATAACCTACACCTTTACAACCTACAGCATTACAAATTCTGTTAAGTCTTACGTACGTGCACGTGTAACACTATTATTCATGCACGTGTAATATAACATAGAAATATATCTTGGTTTTAAATATGTTCGCTGTTGTCTAACTTGAATAGGTAATATAAAATAGACATGGACTCGATCATATGTTGCATCACACAGCTGTAGACAAAGTCGAAAACTATAGAAAATTTAGCCGTTTATAAACGAGCAATAAAGATGACTTGATCTATTCTAGGTACCGATTTTACTGTATGCAATCCTGTCCAATACACGCAGCTCTCCCAACACAACGGTGAAAAAATGCAATGACAGATGCAGCAAAACTTAGCCAAACGAAATTTTTGTGATGTAGAAACGGACGGAAACGCTTGCTGCCTACAGACAATCGGAAAATTACATTGCTCGATCGTTTGCTAAATTCCGGAAGGCAGGTTGACGGGCATTAGCCAGACGCTGGCAAGATATGTCGGTAGGCAAGGGTCGCCGTGGCAGATGCTCTGTTTCTGCTGAAACGCGATATATGGTAGCTCAGCTCTGTCCAGGCCCTCTTCACGATCGCACGTATACGGCTAGCAACGTCCTTCACAATATTCGGCATGTTTACAGCGTCGCTTGTCGATAGTTGTTGCAAAAAAGTGCAAATGCTGTTCGAATTTTACCTCCGCCACTGTAAACCCGTTTTAGAGTATTAACAGGCGCCTGACTGGTTTGAGTGTGCGCGCGCTTCGAGAGCACAACAGCTGCGGCCTGTCGACGCTTCGAGCGTGTGATGATAGATCCGGTTCTCATCATGTGTTATGTTTCAAACTCCATAATGGAGCGTGATTCATTGTTGATAGCAACGGCGAGTTGTCGGCGAGCTGTGGAGGAATCTGAGGAGTGATGGCGTCTCAGGTGATAAATACAGTTGTTTTTTTGCACGCGGTATAGCGCAACAATTTAAAGCTGATGCAAAAATTAAGCGCATTAAGATCCTTTTATCCAATGTGAAGCTTTCAAATAATATGGCTAACCAGTTTCCTAGATAGATGTGCGTCCAGTTAACACAGGAATTGAGAGACTTTGTATGACCTATATATACGCGTATCGAGGGACTGTGCTGGAAACAGAGCTTTTGAGAGCTGTGACATATTCCTAAATATTGAACATCCAGGCCACAAGTAGGGTAGAAAATAAGAAGATAGAAATTTCGGCCTGAGAGAAAATACTGTATTTTCTACTAGCGTACTTGCAGTTATATTCTATACCTGCTCCACTTTTGCTCGTAGTCGTAACGTTAATGGCACCGTGTACGCTTCTAAAAAAACGATAAAATTCCTATTTATTGCCTTAAGGAGAATAGAATGGAATGTAATTACACTAAGTCGTAAATATCTTAGTAAGTTCGAATCCAAGATAGGTTAAATATGATATATTCAATTTCGGAAAGTGAAATATATACGGGCGTAACCATATAGCGTATATATAATATACCCGAATCGTTCACCAGTTATCAGAAGCAATACATATCGGCTGACACATAATCCGCTTTAGAGCAGACAAACGTCGGCAGTGCGTGCCAGTGTAAATTCCTCCCACTCCTGCCTAACACGAGTAGCCGCGTCGCTGTAAATAATTATTCATTATCGTTTGCAGCAGGCCTTGCCGCAGTGAGCTAGATTATAGTGCTTGTAGACTCCGCGCGGCGTCGCCGACGAATTAACGACTAGCCCCATTAGGATATGGGCGTTGGCCCGTGTGCGTCCAGCTGACAACATGGCTGCGAGACTACACGCGAAATAAAACCCACACTGACCGAATAATCTAATTGTGAAAAATTCGGAGTAAAGACCGATCCAAAGTTCTCGTATCACACGCTACGTACATCTCAAAACAAACTCTGAAGAGCAACTTGCGCTGAACTCTCGCGGACTTTATTGCGAGATAACTCCAGAAGTTATTTATTAGCAAGTCCACGAAGACTTGTAAATTCTAGCAGGTTTCGGCGACAAGAATTTTATCATGTGTACAATCATATAGAACTCACATCGATGCCGTGCTAGTACGCAGGTCGCTACGAGCTGCCGCGCGATAGACCGCACTAACTGCTAACGCGTAACGCATGGGCGTTGGCTGGCATTATACACAACCAACATAAAATGGATCTCCTAACGCACCATAAGCATCGAGCAAAAATCTATCGCGATATTAAACGGAGATTAAAAGAACTGTCGCTCACACTGGGAGTCGTTCTATATAGCTACAACTGTGCGAACTTACAATTCGAAGATTTGAAGAGTTGTAGAGTTGCTGTTGCTTCCGAGCGTTGTTACTGCCACGATGATTGCACTCCACGCCTGGTTCTAAGTATTTTTACTACGGTCACGTGGTGTGTCAAATGAGCACTCATGCACGGGATTTACAGAGAGCGAGAGAGGGGGTGAGAGCGAGAAAGATAGCGCGGGCGAACGAATGAGCTAGGAAGCAACAGCAACTCTACAACTCTTCAAATCTTCGAATTGTAAGTTCGCACAGTTGTAGCTATATAGAACGACTCCCAGTGTGAGCGACAGTTCTTTTAATCTCCGTTT